TTGGAGGACTGACACAGGCATTGCAGGCAAAGTCGGGGATAGAGCGGGGGATTATCTGGGTTTTAAATTTGCTTTTTCAGAACTCAAAAAGAAAATCAAATTTTGTAGAAGACAGGACAGACAAAAACCTGGATATTTTCTAGCATATTTTCCCTTTCTCCACCCAGAAAAGCTTTGCCTTCAAATATAACCTCCAAATCAAAGGCTTTTTTCACACCATATAGCTGCTAGCTGTGATTAGAAACAAAGGGAGTAAAAGGAAGTTTCCAAGCCTTAAATACAGCATTACACAAAAGGCAAATCTACTTCCTGCTCTTTTCAGCAACCTAGATGCCAGTGTTTAGTGAAAGTATTTTTAAGATACTAATGGCAGCTGAATTCATGTAAAAGAACCCATTCTTCTAAATGAATTCAATAAGAAGGGCTGGGAAGCATATATAGCCCTCCAGATGTTACCCTAACACCAACCTAGCTAGTTTCTTGAGAAGTGAGTAGAGCTGAGTGAGAACTATTTCAGTGGCTGCCACTAAACGTCCTGAACCCAGAAATGACATACAAAGCAACAGATCTGAAGCAATGGCTTTGCAGTGCTATTGTAATAAAACCATGCTGGGAAATCATTTGTGTATGTCAAAAGCAATCACTCTTATTAGATCATTAGCTTCATCATACTCTGTAAACTCATGTGCCATGTTTGCCATTCACACTAGAAGACATTGCCACTAAATCCTATGGAGCTGATCACAACTGGCACCACTGTACATCCATGTGAGGTTTTGGAGAATTGCCCAATAAGTATTATATAATAGGTGTACATGTTGTGCATTTAAAACACATAGCCATCATGGCTCATTACATGGGATTCTTCCTTTGGGAAAGACATCTTATTTGAGGAAGCCATAAACAAGCCCTCTAAAAATAAAAAATAAACTGCAAACAGAGGGCCCTTCCACACAATCCGATATCCCAGAATATCAAGGACTTTTCCCCATTACTTCTGATATGGAGGAAAAGACTGAATATCTGCATCTTTTCTTGGGATGACTACAATAGAATCCCTTTATCCAGAAGCAGCTTCTAATTTATATTTAATTTTATTCATCCGTCTGGAAGGGGCCAAACAAGATGGAATATAGGCCCCTTCCACACACCTGAATAAAATCCCATATTTTCTGCTTTGAACTGGATTATACAAGTCTGTACTGCCAGATAATATGGGGGCCCTTCCACACAGCCCTTTATCTCAGAATATAAAGGCAGAATATCCCACAATATCTGCTTTGAACTGAGTTATCCAACTCCACACTCAGATGTGGGATTTTCTACCTTGATAGTCTGGGATATAGGGCTGTCTGGAAAGGTCCCTAGATAACCCAGTTCAAAGCAGATATTGTGGGATTTTCTGCCTTGATATTCTGGGTTATTGGGCTGTTTTGTGCTGGATTGTATGGCAGTGTGTAAACTCAGATAGTTGTTAGGCAATCCCTTGTTGTCCAAGTAGGATAGTCCTCCAGGGTCAGTGTGCAGTGGGTCCGTAGGTGACTGTGGAGCCCAATTCTTGATCTGCATCTTCTCCCGCAGTGAGGGCATTGGTTTCCAGATAGAAGGCAGTCCGGTCGGGGTTGGCTTGACGCACCTTCCTCTTGGCATGTTTCTCTCTTTTGCTCTCCATTTGTGCCTCTTCAAATTCTACAGCACTGCTGGTCACAGCTGACCTCCAGCTGGAGCACTCAAGGGCCAGGGCTGCCCAGTTCTCAGTGTCTACGCCAGAGTTTTTAAGGTTGGCTTTGAGCCCATCTTTAAATCTCTTTTCCTGTCCACCAACAAACTCAGATAATCCAGTTGATAGCAGATCATGTGGGTTATTGGTTTTGAGAATCTGGTTTACATGGTAGTGTACAAGGGGGGCAAGGGCCCTTCCACGTGGCCTATAACCCAGAATATCAAGGCAGAAAATCCCACAATATCTGCTTTGAACTGGGTTATATGAGCCCACACTGCCATATATCCCACTTCCAAGCAAATAATGTGGAATTTTCTGCCTTGATATTCTGTGATGTATGGCTGTATGGAAGGGCCCTGAGTCCACACTGCCATATATCGCAGTTCAAAGCAGATACTGTGGGATTTTCTGCCTTGATATTTTGGATTATATGGCTGTATGGAAGGGCCCTGAGTCCACACTGCCATATGTCCCAGTTCAAAGCAGATACTGTGGGATTTTCTGCCTTGATATTTTGGATTATATGGCTGTATGGAAGGGCCCTGAGTCCACACTGCCATACATCCCAGTTCAAAGCAGATACTGTGCTGGTATAACTGCACCAGGAGCTTCAATTCTGTTTGCTTTGCATTTAAATGTTTGTTTGCAATCCCAGGCTTGGGATTTTGCAGCAGGGTGGCTTCCTGTTATAGTTTGCAAAGGGCAAGCCACCTGTCAATTATAGTTAGGTTCCCTGGTCCCACCCCTTTTTTAGTTTTGGAGGGAATAGGAGCCTTTTTGAGTTAGTTCTCACAGAGAAGCCTTTCGCACAGTACATAAAACGAAGAGCTCCTGTAGAAAGCTTCGTCTTCTATGGCTTGGCTGGGGAGATTTACAGTTTACAGCCTGACTGGAGTTATACAGCCTTACAGCTCCTCTGCTGAGGGACTTCAGCCAGCCATCACTGAAACCTGAACTCCTTCTTTTTCCCTGGAAGTCTACAAAGCTCTGCTTGGTAAGAGTTGCTTGTGGAAGCCAGACGCAGTTGGTACCGGGTGCAGGGGCTCCACGCCAACAGAGGCAAGTACAGACTGCCCAGATTAGAAGTTAAGGATTTCCCCATTAGTTAATTACAGTTATGAAGACAGTGCCTGTTCCCAGTGAACAAGATTGCAAGAACCAATAGACTGTTAAGAAAGCTTTAAAGTACCTGTTTGTTTTCATCAATAAAGAACTTTGTTGGACTTACTTTAAGCAATCTAAAGACTCTGTTTGGGGGAATCTAAGGGCCTTTAATCTGAGGCAGCCCTGGCATCTCGTTGGGCACAAAGAATTTATGTCCTGTCTATAGTCATGTGCACAGGCCCAGCGTGCGACAGCACAGATACAGTGGGATTTTCTGCCTTGATATTTTGGATTATATGGCTGTATGTAAGGGCCCTGAGTCCACACTGCCATATATCCCAGTTCAAAGCAGATACTGTGGGATTTTCTGCCTTGATGTTGTTGTTGTTGTTCATTCGTTCAGTCGTCTCCGACTCTTCGTGACCTCATGGTCCAGCTCACACCAGAGCTCCCTGTCGGCCGTCACCACCCCCAGCTCCTTCAAGGTCAGTCCAGTCACTTCAAGGATGCCATCCATCCATCTTGCCCTCGGTCGGCCCCTCTTCCTTTTTTCTTCTACTTCCCCCAGCATAATTGTCTTCTCTAGGCTTTGCTGTCTCCTCATGATGTGGCCAAAGTATTTCAACTTTGTCTCTAGTATCCTCCCCTCCAGTGAGCAGTTGGGCTTTATTTCCTGGAGGATGGACTGGTTGGATCTTCTCGCAGTCCAAGGCACTCTCAGAACTTTCCTCCAACACCACAGCTCAAAAGCATCTATCTTCCTTCGCTCAGCCTTCCCTAAGGTCCAGCTCTCACATCCGTAGGTTACTACAGGGAATACCATGGCTTTGACTAGGCGGATCTTTGTTGCCAGTGTGATGTCTCTACTCTTTACTATTTTATCGAGATTGGACATTGCTCTCCTCTCAAGAAGTAAGCGTCTTCTGATTTCCTGGCCACAGTCTGCATCTGCAGTAATCTTTGCACCTAGAAATACAAAGTCTGTCACGGCCTCCACGTTTTCTCCCTCTATTTCCCAGTTGTCAATCATTCTTGTTGCCATAATCTTGGTTTTTTTGACCTTTAGCTGCAACCCAGCTTTTGCGCTTTCTTCTTTCACCTTGATTAGAAGGCTCCTCAGCTCCTCCTCGCTTTCGGCCATCAGAGTGGTGTCATCTGCATATCTGAGGTTGTTAATGTTTCTTCCAGCAATTTTCACCCCAGCTTTGCATTCATCAAGCCCCGCACATCGCATGATGTGTTCTGCATACAAGTTAAAAAGGTTGGGTGAGAGTATGCAGCCTTGCCGTACGCCTTTCCCAATCTTGAACCAGTCTGTTGTTCCGTGGTCAGTTTTTCCTACTTGGTCCTTGTACAGATTCCTCAGGAGAGAGACAAGGTGGCTTGGTATGCCCATCCCACCAAGAACTTGCCACAATTTATTATGATCCACACTAGGGGTCCTCAAACTTTTTAAACAGAGGGCCAGGTCACAGTCTCTCAAACTGCTGGAGGGCCGGATTATAATTTCAAAAAAACAGTCGTTTCAGACTTAGGTTGACCCTGAGTGAGGGCCGGGTAAATGACCTTGGAGGGCCGCATCCGGCCCCCGGGCCTTAGTTTGAGGACCCCTGATCCACACAGTCAAAGGCTTTAGAATAGTCAATGAAGCAGAAGTAGATGTTTTTCTGAAACTCCCTGCCTTTCTCCATTATCCAGTGGATATTGGCAATCTGGTCTCTCGTTCCTCTGCCTTTTCTAAACCCAGCTTGAACATCTGGCAACTCTCGCTCCATGTATTGCTGGAGTCTTCCTTGCAGGATCTTGAGCAAGGAAGATCCTTGCAGGATCATGGAACTCTCGCTCCATCCCTTCCTTCCTCCCTGTAAGCCCCGCCCCAAAGCCTCCTCCTCCTCCTCCTCCTCTTTGGCCCTGGAAGTGAGACTTCAGGGCAGCAGAAAGCATTGCAAACTCCAGGCGGCGACTGTGGAGGAGGGCGGCGCGCGCGCGCGTGTGTGTGCCACTCTCCGAGAGCTCAATGTATCGCCCGGGGCCATGGAGATCCCAGCCAGCGCGCGACGAGGAGAGGGGCGTGGCTTAGAGAGAGAGAGAGGGAGAAAGGGGGCGGGGCGCCCAGGAAGCGCGAGAGAAAGGGGGGTGAGGGAGGGAGGAGGCACCTTGGCCAAACCATCTTGAGCCCCGCGAGGGAGGGAGGGAAAAGAGGGAAGGAAGGAGAGAGGCTCTTCGCCTGGTTCTGTTGGAGGGGGGAGGCTCAGGAAAGCAGCTGGGCTGTTCGCATCACGTCATCGCTTCCGCCCCGCTTCCTCCTCCTCCTCCTCAAGAGTGCTGGCGCTGAAGAATCCAACATGGAGTAAAGGCAGCGATGGGGCTCGGAGGGGGCCGCCGGCTGCTCCTCTTCTCGGGCCCGCGCTGCCTCCCCGCGCGCTGAGCCTCACGCGGGCAACGCTCTCTCTCCCCCCCTCCCTCCCCTTTTCGCACGCGCACCCCCTCTTTCTCCCCCTCCCCCCTCCTCCTCCTCTCCTCTCTCTCTCTCCTTCCGCGCAATGTGAGGCTCGGGAGAAGAAAATGCGGGCCGCCCGCAGCGGGGGATGAGCCTCTTCCAGGAGGAGAAAATGACCGAAGACACCCACCCGGACGAGTAAGTGAAATGAGGAGGCGGGAAACAACATCTGGAGGAGGAGGGGGAGAAAGGAGTGGAGGAAAGGGCCCGCGACGCCCCCCCCCCCCCCTCCCGCGCGCCCGTCCTTGATTGAGCTCTGCGTCTCCATTGCGCGCGCGCGACCTGAGGGCTTCTTCTGCCCGCGAGGCCTAAAGGGAGGGGGGAGGGGGGAAGAGGCAACTTGCAAGCCTCTTCTCCTCAGGTTTTGGGATAGGTGGGTGGGGGTAAACACACACGCCCCCTTGCCCTCACATCCGCCATTTCTTTCTTCTTCCCTCCCTCCCTCAACCCCCGTCTTCTGCTTTTTTCTTTCTTTCTTGAATCAGCCTCATTTGCATACCACATTTCCATTCATAAAAAAAAACAACAAGACTCGGCTGTCTCTGGCCAGGAGAGGCCGCGAGGGCCGCAGGAGTTGGCGCGCGGGCTGCCTCGCGCTCCCTTCCCTGGGGGGGGGGGGGGGGAGGGGAGAGAAGAGGAAGGAAGGAAGGAGGGGCCACGCGCCCAAACTTTCCTCTCAAGTCAGCCCTGCGGCGCGGAAAGGAGGCCGAGGAGCTCGTGTTGTTTGGGCTCTCTCCCTGTCTGATTTGTAGGCCTCTCTCCACGCTCTCTCTCGTTGGCGGGGAAAGGTGGCTGCGTCGGGATGGCCGCCAGTCTCTCTCTCTGTCTCCTCGTTCATAAGAATTCCGCCCGTGCGGCTGCACTGGCTCAGGCAGCTTCCCGTTATTGTCACGTGACACTGACATTCATAAATCCGGTAACCTTCAGCCTGCTGCCTCCATTCACTGACTTACTCGGTGGCTGGCTGGCTGTCGCCGCCCTTTTCCGTTCCTGAACAGTCCCAGGCTCACGAAGAAGAAGCAGCAATAGCAGCGTGTGTTTCTGAGGGTCCTTCCGCATAGCCATATAACCCAGAGTATCAAGGCAGAAAATCCCACAATATCTACTTTGAACTGGGCTATCTGAGGCCCTTCCACACAGCCATATAACCCAGAAGATCAAGGCAGGAAATCCCACAGTATCTGCTTTGAACTGGGTTATCTGAGTCCACACAGCCATATATTCCAGTTCAAAGCAGAAAATATGGGATTTTATGCAGCTGTTTGGAAGGGGCCCCAGTTCAAAATATATCTGCTTTGAACTGGGGCCACTTCCATACAGCTGCATAAAACCCCCCATTTCTGCTTTGAACTGGATTATATGTAGGATTTTCTGCCTTGATATTCTGGGTTATATGGCTGTGTGGAAGGGCCCTCAAATAACCCAGTTCAAAGTAGATATTGTGTGATTTTCTGCCTTGATCTTCTGGGTTCTATGGCTGTGTGGAAGGGCCCTAGGTTATCTGATTCCACACTGCCATATATTCCAGTTCAAAGCAGAAAATGTGGAAGGGGCATGAGGCTATCGTGCAGTTTCATTAACAGTATTGAACTGGGGGCCCTTCCACGCAGCTGTATAAAATCCCACATTATTTGCTATGAACTGGATTATATGGCATTGTGGACTCAGATAACCCAATTCAAAGCAGGGGGAAGGTGTCTTCATACATTTTACATATTACAACTAGTTGCTAACCATGAGGAGATTGTGTATGAGTTGATTATTGAAAAGTATGGATCACTCTTAGGCCCCTTCTACACTTCCATATAAAATCCATGTTATCTGCTTTGAACTAAATTATATGACAGTGTAGACTTGGGCCCCTTCCACACAGCTGTATAAAATCCCACATTATTTGCTATGAACTGGATTATATGACAGTGTGGACTCAGATAACCCAGTTCAAAGCAAAGGGGAAGGTGTCCAGAGGAGGGTGACAAGCTGGAAGATGTCTGAAAGGCTTGGAGGCCATGAATCCCTATGAGGAGCTTCTTAAAAAGCTGGGTCTGTTTAGCCTGCAAAAGAGCAGAGCGAGAGGAGACGTGATGGCCATGTATAAATATTGGAAAGGATGTCATAAAGAAGAGGAAGCAGGCTTGTTTTCTGCTGCCCTGGAGACTAGGACTCAGTGGAGAAGGGTTCAAATGACAGGAAAGGAGATTCCACCTAAATATATGAGGAAGAACTTCCTGATTGTAAGAGCTGTTCAGTGGAACTCTCTGCCTCGGAGTCTGGTGGAAGCTCCTTCCTTGGAAACTTAAACAGAGGCTGGATGACCATCTGTCAGGGTTTTTTTGTTGTCCTTTTCCTGCTTGGCAGGGGGTTGGACTAGATGGCCCATGTCGTCTCTTCCAGCTCTTATTATTCTATGAAAGCAGATATTGTGGATTATCTGCCTTGATATTATGGGTTATATGGCGGTGTGGAAGGGCCCTGGATGATCTGCCAGTGTAGACACATATCATAGAGTTGGAAGAGATCACATGGGCCATCTAGTCCAACCCCCTACCACGCAGGAAAAACACAATCAAAGCACCCCTGACAGATGGCCATCCAACCATATAATCCAAATAATGTGTTCTGAAATGGGCTTTATAGGGCAGTGTGATCCAGCCTGAGTTGAGAGTGTTGGGAGGCCACAAGGCCGGGTCAGAAGTTGGGCTTCCTCAACAGAGCTCATTCCAGGCCTTTCCAACCTGGAAATGGGAAGTGACGGCTGTTTTCCTACTACTACTCTTGCCTCAGTGTGATCTGAGACATCTATGCAGAGGATTTTGACTAGTGCCCATTCCACTGTCTGAAAATGGAGAAAGGACAGCAAGTAATTCTTCTCAAAATGCCTTGGGCCAGGAATGGGTAAGCTTTATCCCCCCAGGTGTTTTGGACTTGAGCTCCCAGAAATTCCAGCTGTTAGGAATGGTGGGAGTAGAAGACCAAAACACCTGGAGGGATGAAGTTTGCACATGTTTGCCTTAGGTGAATTGTGCCTGAGCATGAGAGAGTCCATAACATTCAAAACGCGTTTGCTGCACTTGCAAGAAATTGAGACCATCAGTTGCCAGGGCTAGATGTTAATGTGACATCAGCCATTGATGAGGGATGATAGGAGTTGCTGCCCCCTCAGCAAGTGATCTTTTTCTGAATCGGGATTTATCCGAATAAAAACAAGGTGGTCATTGAGCACTGTAAGTGCCTTCTGTGCAACAACAGCAACATCTGTGCCAAAAAAAAAAAGGAAAGGTAGCTGCCTCTGTCCTGCTTGCTCTGTATTCCAGAGTTGTGCCGTGCTATGATTCAAAGTGGCCCTCATCTCTATTCCAATCATTGAAGTCCGGTGAGAAGTTGGTAACCCACTAGAGTAGCATTTTAACAGCCACAGAGGTGAGAAAGGGCTAGACATTGAGTAGTTCTCAGTCTGTGGCCTTTCAAGTGTTTTGGATTTCAGCTACCATTTCTGAACATTGGACAAGCTATCCTGGGCTTCGTGAGTTGGAGGGCCTATGCACCACTGGGCCAGAATGCTCATATTTGGGCTAGATGTTCTGATTCTTGAAAGATTTGGCAGTTTCTTCTTACAGGGATAAATTGAAAAGTACCCCTAGGGACACAATATGCCAGAGTCCTTTACTGAATATTTGAAACACCTAGAAGCACCCTGCTGTGGGACCAGCCTCAGCTAGACAGTTGCTCAGCTCTTTTTATTGCAGACGCTTTTGTTAGAAGGATAAAAATATTATAAAGAGCGATCCAGCCTTTTCCACTTGGAGTAGTTGCCATTCCAGTTTGGAAGCAGGAGGATTTAAGACAGGGTATTTGTCAGCTAAGCAACCTTTTAAAAACATCTGTTAACACCATAGAAGGGAGGACTCACTTGGCCTCCTAGATGTTTGTTGCTTGACAACAAGTTCCTGCAGTCATAAGCCGCACAGTGAAGAAGACTGGGAGGGACAGACCAAAACCATCTGGAAGGTCACATACAGCGGTTCCTCAAAATCTGCCATTTAATAGCACTATATAGCACGATTTTTGTTTCTGGGTTATAAATGTCATTTCTTAATTGGTTCTATCATAAAACATGGGGAAAGTTTATTAAACTTCAAAAGCTTAAAGTTAAACTGCAGCACATTTTGCTATCATTTTTCAATGAATATCTCATCAAGTCTCAGGCAGTTCAACATAGTTTGTAGCAGCCACAAAACAAAGTTTCTGAAGTAATACAACAACTACTTTCAAAGTAAATACCACACAAGTAAACAGGAAATGACACTTTATAACCAGGAACATATTTTTTTTCAATTTTTGCTACATAGTGTAATACGGGACAGCCAACTGCTTTTTTTGGGGTGTCCCTGGTAAGTCTTAGGAACAGCCCCCCACAGATCCAGAGGGCCCACTGAATTTTCCACAGCTGCTACATAACATGCAGTTGTGAAAATAGCTCTTTCTACTCCTAGACCTGGTAGACGATTACTGGTTCTAAATTGGGATGGCAGCCTTTCAGTACAATACTGTGTGAATATTTTTTCTATGATAGATGCCACACATTCTTTTTTTAAATCAAATTTATTCATAGTATTCACAAATTTAGTAGTTTCKATTGGGTTTGAAATCTTACAGCAGTGGGATATTATTTAATATTATGGCTTTTGATGTTTGCCTGTAACCCCCCCCCCCCCATTTATTTGAAAAATCATTTCTCAAACCTTTTGTCTGGAAAAATAGGAACTGGTTTCCAAAATGCTTTGGGAGTTGCAGTATATTCCATGTCAGGCTACTTGGCATAATGAAAGAAAAAATGTATTAGTACAGCTAGAGACTCTTTTCTTAATTACGTTTTGATGTTCAGTATTATCAGTATTATTGCTGATAATAGTTTAAATACCATTGCCCAGTTGGACATCTGACTTTAACATTTGTTACTGGATTCTGCCTGCTTAAATTCGAACCTAGGTAATTTCCTGTGTCCTGTTACATTAATCAACAAAGGAGTAAGCAAAACTGTTCTCTTTGGTGCGTTACGTTAACCAATGTTGAATGGGAATTAAAGCCTTAAGTCTTTAACACACAGCCTTCTGTTACCAATATATCACGTAAATACA